TAGGCAAGCACTATGAGAAATAGCAGCCTTGGGCTTGTTGTGAGGCAGCAATGGGAAACCATGGATGTTTGTTTACATCATTTATTCAGTATTTATCAAGCAAAGAGACAAAAAAATCCAAATCAGATGCAAATACCTCCTGAACTCAAAGATCTGCATCTCCCTTGAGCACACCAGTCAGCGGATGACTAAACCAGTTTTATTGTTTACGCAAAGGAAAATGTGCAGCTTCCCTTGAGTATGCCCATCTGTGTGTCTTAACCCAGAGGCAAGACTGCCAGGCTTACTGACCTCCTGGAGGTGGTATTTATTAAAGCCACTTCCCTGGTCACTGCCCTGCCATGGCAAGAGATTTTCACTGCTTTCTTTCCCAACTCTAAATCACTTAAACCATATCTAGTCAGTGAGATGTTCAGCTTTGTACAGTGCCCATCTTTTTGCTCATCTTTTTATGGGAACAGATGCGTTTTGATATATACATCCTATGTTCAATGAAACAACATTGTGTGTCCCCCATCTCCAGAAAAAAGGGCTTTACATATAGGGATTTCTGATAGGGTTTGTCAGCTTCTTGTGCTTGCAGTGAATTATGGTCTCCTAATGCTGTGGTACTTTGCCTTTGCCTTGGGCTGTGGTGACCAGTATTCATGCAAGGAGAACAAATTCCAGTTAACAGGCTTGTGGCTTATAAACTCCAGCACAAAATATGTTGAAGCAAGATTCAGGCTTTACTTTCTTTGTCACTGATGCCATGACTCACAAGCAGAGGTGGAAACTCAGCTGATGAAGTGTTTTCATACAAGCAGCTACCTAGGAAGGAAAAGAGCAAGGTTATTTGTTAATGGATTTGGATGGTTTTATACATGTTTTCTCGTATATGAGTTAATCCCCTCCCAGTATTTGTATTTTAAAGTCTTCAGTAATATTCAGCATGTTCATAGCAAGTGTCTTCCAGCCTTTGGGGTGACTTGGTGCCACTTGGCACAAACGCAGGCACTGGGTAAGGGACACAGCCTCAATCAGACGGAGGATGTAGCGCAATTTGGGGTGTCAAGTCAGGGTCACAGCACAGGGTCCCACCTTCGTTGCCTATCCAGTGCATGGATGTACGGGCTAAACTAGAAGTGCCAGCATAGCCAGACAGGGACATGAAGCAATCCACAGCAACAGGCAGGCTTTCCCTTGGGTAAAGTCACAGTGAGACTGAAGTTGCACTAGTCCGGAATGAGTGATGGTTCAGAAAGGGACTGTTGCTCCCCCCAAGTTCTGCAGAGCCTATACCAAAGCCCTGTGGGCTGCAAGTGAGCAGGAGCACTTGCTTTTTCCCTTGGGTTTTGCTCTGGAGCCCTGCTGCCCTCCCTGGACACTTGCAAACTGCCTGGCTCCAAGGACAATCCTCTTCCTAAGGAACTCCCCATTTTGTTCTAGGGCCCAGGGAAGAAACAAAGCACAGTGCTAAATGCTGGCTCCTGGCAGCCAAGGCCAGGGTGCCAAAACAGCAAGGGTGCTGTCAACCCTTTAGACAATGGCTGAAGCCCCATACACTCATTTACCTTTGACAATAGAGCAGGCCAAATCCTCATACTTAAAATACCATCACCATGCAGTTCAAGTAACACTAAGGAGATAAGGAGGGGGAAGCACTTGTTATTGGAGAGACCACAGCTCTGCATCCCTGTAGCAGTAACACTCCCCATCAAGGCCTTTGCAGTATTTCTTGTCATCTGTGAGACTCAAAACCTTCCCATTTCCCTAAGCAATCTCTTCTGTTTACCAGTGGCATGCAATTCCCGCTTGGACTTTGAACGAGCTGTGATAACACCAGCTCTGTGCTTGGCTGTGCATAGTTCTTTGTTCCCTCCTGAGTTACTAAAGGACAACAAGCCCGAGACACATACACACGCAAATTCTTCTGATTCCCACTTTGACTGAAGTATTCTCAGCTACATTGAAGACCTCTTCTGGTATCAGATTCATCAGAACATTCCTCACGTCTACAGCTGTGTCACAGGAAAACTGAAAGAAAATGTTTAAACCAATAACTATTCTGACAGAGGCCCAGCAGCCAGGAGTAAGCTGCTGTGACACATCTGGAAGGATTTAGGTCATTGCTTCCCATGGCAGCATTAGAAATGCAAACTGAGACCAGTTCTCGTGGAGAAACTTGTGAATAGTTTCGATGGGAGTTTCCTTCCCCACAGAAAATGGCTTCTTAAAAAATTCATTTTAAGTAGCTTGTGGCTTTTAAACAGCTAGAACAGCTCTGCCTGGGAAACACTATCACACAGAGACAAAGACATCAGAAATTTTAGTCAGACCAATCTGCCATGAGCAGTTTTGTGCTTTCCTTCAGTGGCATCGAGCTAAGGAAACTAATAGCAGGGTGAAAGTATATTCCAGATTTTGATTTGTTTATGTTTTGTTAACAGGCTGTACAGTAGGGAAGTACTGATAGACCTTAGGAGCGTAAGTGTTTTAACTTTGCCAGAGTACAGTGCAGATTTGAAGCACTATGAGCCATAGACTCACTTAAACCATGCAGACAGAGGTTTGCTCTACTAGGTCAAATTAACTGCTCCAGTGAAAGAAACATAACACATGCAAGGTCACGCCTCTGTGCCTTTACAGACAAGCTCTCGCACTGGAAGGTGCTGTGTTTGGTTAGGTATTCCACTCAGCTGTGCCTCAGCACCAGGCCTCTTACCCATGGTACTTAGTGCACCAAGTGACTAACCTGCATAAGGCTGTGACACTTCTCCCAGTGCCAGCCAAAATCACCCCATAGGTTACATATGGAACTATACCACTTTCTCTCTACGTCATAAGAAAAACTTAGGGTTTATCCTTTATAATACCTTCCTTGGCTTGTTCTCCTTCTGGCTTTTGAATTCTTCCTCTTCTTTCCACTGTTCTATTGCATAAAGTCAACAATTAAATGCTTTGTCCGAAAAGTTCTCTGCCCCCACATTTAAGCTTTAAGCTTTCCTTATGAGTAAGATAAAAACATGTCAGCTTTTTCTTTTCTTCAAAATTAGCACAGTTGAAACACAGTGCATCTGCTCAGCCACAAAACAAAACCCCAAAATCACCTCCGTTCTTGTACTTTTTATTTTGCCATCCTGCTGCTTTCAAAGGAAACACCAACAAGACTCTACCATCAGAAGAGACCCACTACATGTGGTAACAATAAAGCCACTTCCAGGCTCCTTTTAAGCAGGTTTTGCCCACTGCTGAGACTGTATAAGGGGATGGGTAAGGTTATTTTTTTCAGGTTTGGGGGTTATATCTGATCGGAGATGTGTAGGCAAAGAAAAATGTTCTTAGGTACTCTCAGAAGTCTTTGAGATGCAACTATTACAGTTTATTTTAAGAAATTATTTTGATTTGTTTCTTTTTCAAAGCAGATAATTTAATATTTTTATTTTTTTTACATGTTAGGGAAAATGGTTTAGTAGCTGGTTTAGATATATTATCATTAAATGAATTTGCTAGAATAGCTTTAAGTTCATGTATCTTTTTCACTGTTTTATTAATAGTAAAACAAGTTTCATCTGTTTAAATAGCCTCGTGTTGGGGATTAGGGATGTTCATTTATGTAAAACAAGAATTCAACTTCTAGTGCTTTCCAGTGTGACACAGTTCCCAAAGACTATATTTTTCCCCTGAAGCACTAGCAATTCTCATTTTAATGGGGAAACCTGGGCTGGAGAAAATTGTACAGTAAATTGGAGTTCGTTCTTCTTGTAAAACGCACCCTGCTAACCTAGTACTACTGGGTGTAGATGTAGTCATGAGAAATTCCAGCTTTAACAGGTATTAGTAGTAATTGAGATTGTCTCATTACTTGTTAAGTGTGCAAGCCATTCTTCTCACTCTGGAGTTGTATATAAACTATTTAAATCAAATGGCATCTGTCACTGTAGAAAAAGTTAATTTCGTGTGGTGGACTTCAATGTGTTATTTTAATTCTACAAGTTCTTGCTCTTGCTGCTTCAGAAAGTGCCGTGATCTAAAGGGTGTCCTGGCCATTAGCTTATGTTAGTAATGCTCTGCTGCATTGCTCAACTGCTTTGCCCAAGAGCACTGTTTTAATTGCATGAAAGCCCCTTGGGTTGTTTGAGCTGGAATCCCACTGTTGCTCTAGCACCTGGTCCTTGCCCAGAGGCTTGTAAAACCCCAAACTGAGGCATGGCCATTCGTTACCACCTTGCTGCTGTCAGACTGGGACATTCCATGTACATCTGGTGTGTTCGTATATGGGAAGCTCCTCTCAGATGGAAAGCTTTGATTTTCTGAGTGGGAGGAGCTTCATGTCCTCAAATTATAGCTCTGTCAGAAAATAGGACTACCCCTTCTGTGCTGGGTTTACCTTATTCAGCACAAATGATTGCTGGTTTAAGCACTAGGTCTTGCAAACTCTCTTGGTTTAAGAAGCCATTTGATTGGGCTTAAGTGAAAAGGACCCTATAGTCAAAGGACAGCTGGTGACTAATAAGAGACTTGGTTAACAGCTAAGGAATCACAACAGGCTGCCAGACCAACTTCTATTAGTAAAAGCTGTCGCATGAGTCTAATGAGAGACACAATTTGGGAATGTAATCAAGACCTTAACGAAGCTGCATGAATCCGAATCAACATCCAGCTCTGCCGTGCTGTCTGCTTTTAGCAATCTAATGAGTAGGTAGGAAAGGATGTGCTCCAGGAGCAGGGAGGTGGTGAGAAGGGTGGGACTGTGCTCACAGAGTCACCTTTACCACAGCTTTGTGAGGCTCCCAGGTCACAAGCTTGATGTTATGAGATGGGCAAAGGCTACTGCATAAATAAACAACCACCCCCTTTAGAGAATGTGTCTCAGAGCACAAAGCAGTTGGTTAGAGATAAGCATTGGAGAGCAGGGGATGGACTTTTGTCATCAGCAGCCATCAGGTGGGAGGTGTGTTTTCACAAGCAATGAGAGGAGAGGCCAGAGTCCTGCTGTTCATTAATCCATGGCACATCCTGTGTTTCAGGGTGGTGCTAAATCAGATGCCTGGACTGGGTGTGAGGCAAGGAGCCACGTCCACCCGCAATCAGGAAACAGCAGCGTGCACAGGTGTGGATGGGGCCAGGCAGGCTGATGAGTAAGTAGTGAGGAAGTAGAGGGTGCTTTGAACAGAGATGCTCAGGCTGCATGTGTGTGTATCCAGGGGTGGATTATTCCTGGGGGACTGGACCTACAACGCCTGCATTGCTCTGCCTGTCTGATGCTCCAGGGCAGCAGGGTGATTCCTCTAGCCATGGCTGATGAAGAATCTGGCCCTGCCTTCCACCATGGCCTGGAGATGCGTTTCACCCTGTCCATTGCTTATTTCAGCAAGAAACTTGGAGGATGAGGGTTTCCGTGTCTTAAAAGTGTGGTTATTCCCACAAGCAGTGACTGGCTGCTTTTTAAAAGAGTGATGTAGGAGCTGTGTAGTATTACCAAGCAGTCCAAGAACTCTTAAGCCATCCTAGGGTGATAAACCAGAGTGAATGCATGCTGGATCCAGTAGGGAGAGGTCTTTTTGTAGTTCCAAACTTCCTAAGAGCTGCTTTATAATTTAAAAATTGGAGAAAGCAGCTTGTATGTGTCATCCCAACAGGCAAGCACAGGGTGGTCACAAAATCTTTTCACACCTTGTTGACTGCTGAATTGAATACTACAAGGGAGAGAAAGCTGCTCTGAAAAGATGACAGACAAGGTCTTCAACAGCACGCAGGGGGGAGGAAAAAAGCACTACTTAGACTTGCGTCACGGAGAAAGGTCATGGAAAGGCTGTAAAATGAGAATCCCAAGGTAGCACTGTCCTTCTCAGTCTTTGTCTTAACACTGGAGATAGTAAGGGCAAAACCTGAAACAGCTCTGGAGCAAAGGCATGTTCGCCATCAGACAGCTTTAGTCAGCTCACAGACTTCTTTCATTTGGGATCTCCTCCCTGAAGCTTGCTGTACGCAAAGGCTCTGGTGGCATCCCTAATAGCCGTAATCTGGTTGCTTTTAAGAGCTCCGAGCCAAGGCTCGAGGAAGGCTGTAGTGAGCTCTTTCCCAAGGGAGCCTGGTACATGATGTGAATTGTGGCAATGGCTCTGTGGTGGAAAAGACTGGCATTTTACCAGGCAACAGCTGCTTTGCAAGTTGGTGATGATCTAGGCTATAACCTGTCATTGGGTCTAAGAGGGAGGAATATACATAGAATTGATTCCTCCTGCTGTGAGGGAATCCTGGAGGGCTCCACAGGTGCCCATGCCACTGGATCAGAGGTTACATAGGAGCTGAATTTCTCATGATTTCAAGCTTGTGCTGTCCTCTGAGAGGGGAACGATCATTCACAGGACACTGCCCTGGTTTACTGAGCTCTTTCCTCTGTGAAAGAATAGAACCAGGCTGGGAAAAGGTTGTGGCCACAGAGTCAGGCAGAGCAGTTTCCCCTCTGCAGGAAAGACTTCCTCCATTAGACAAACCCCAGCCAAAGCAGAGACCTCAATTAGTGCCTGATCAAAGACTCGAGGCATTCCCCAGCAGTATGTTATGCAAGGGTCAGGTTCTGCTGCCCTGATTCCCGTTCCTCCCCGAAACTGCAGGCATTCAGACACATGCCTCAAATACATGAGCAGTCCTACCTACCACACTGGTGTGCCCCAGAGCATCCTGCTGGAGCACAGCCAGCAGCCCCAGTTTAACAGGCAGTGGCACCCACTGGTCCTATGTCTGGGGTCATACAGCAGCAGGAGCATCGCCCAGGCAGTGATGTATCCCTGCCTCATGTACTTAACTCTCTTCCTGCCTCTATAAAGGGTCTATTTGAGAGCAAGATTAGGTGCAAGATTAACCTGTGGTATTTGTTTTACTGTTTAAAAGATCATTTATGCTAATTCAGAGAGCAGAGTACATTACAGAATCCACGCAATCCAGTGAGGTTCCTAAAGCCAGCTTGTTATTTGTAAACTCTTACAAATGACTGCACTGGACATCTCTTCCCTGCACCTGGATTCCAATCCCCCCCACTCCCATCACATAAACACCTAACAAGCAACTAAGGGCTGGGGTCTCTGGGAAAACGCAGCTCTGGTTATGAAACTGCCTTCCCCCTACAAGCCTGGGACCTGTACCACAGCACAGCTTTTCTGCCCAACACAGATTCCTCCAGCAGCACCTTCCACCCCCAGGCATGGGAATAGGCTCTAGCCACTATGCAGGTACCACTTCCTAGTCCTGCAGTGTGAGGAAAAGGACTGGAGGTGCAAGTATCGATGCTGCCAGGCAGTCATGGGGAGCAGCAGGGCTGTGGTGGTGCCCTGCATTCCTTTCTGCAAGGGCTGGTGGGCACAGTGGGCTGAGAAATGGGGTGGGAGTGCTGCACCCTCCTCTGCTCAGGGCTCCCCAGCTGCCGCCCTCTGCCATGGCCAGGTGCTCTCTGAGGATTCTTGCTGGAAGGCTGGACTTCGATCAGCTGCATTTTTAAAAGCGGGCTCATCCTTAACCTGCTGGGATTAAAAAGGGATGCGGCCATGGCCAGTGCCCAGAGTTTAGGCAGTGTAAACAAGAGTTTTGCGAACCCAGGACCAAAACCAATCTGCTGCTGTAAGCAAAAGCGAGAACTCCACCCTGGCTGGGGCCAGGCTGTGAGCTTCACACCGGAGTCTGATACCCCAAAACCATGGTCCCTCTAGCACTGGAGATTGTGGCTGCCCCAGCAGCTGATGCCTGCCCTGTGAGGCACATAGGATTTGCCTACCAGGGTCCTGTGTGCTTCCAAAAGAGTTGTTTGCATCCTCCCACTGATAGAAAAGCAAGAAAGGGGGGAAGGGCAGAGAGGCTCAGACAGCGATTTGTCAGATTAACTTAAAGTACATTCTCCAATAGGTTCAGTCTGTTTCACAGCATTTTCTGTCTGCATGGCTTCCCCTTGCACGGTGGCCAGCAAGGCCCCATCTCCACTGGCAGGGATCCCAGGAAGCCGTCTCTCAGTCACTCTCGCTGCCGGTGCGGTGGGATGCTGCCCGGCGGCCGTGCTGCGGCCTGAGGCAGGCAGGCAGTGCTGCCCTGCCAGCAGGCAGCGAGGCCTTGCTGACGGAGGACACGCTGCGGGCCAGGGGCTGAGTGGGGAACATAACTGTGCCACGGGGAGCCTCCAGGAGCTGCCAGATCTCCCCCGAGGTGGCGCTGCCCAGGTATTCCCAGGGCCTGCGCCCGCTGCTGTCCCGCAGCTGCACCTGGCAGCCCAGCTGCAGCACCAGCACCTTGATGACGAGCTGATGCCCGTGTATGGCAGCCAGATGTAGCGGCGTGTACCCGCAGCCCGACCGCGCGTCCGCGTCCAGGGCCAGCCCAGCCTGCTGTGCCGCGGCTGCCAGCTCCTGCAGGCCCTGCCCGTCGCCGTGCTTGGCCAGCCAGTGAAGGATGGTGAAGCCCGACATGAAATCCCGCTGCAGGGCCAGCTCTGGCTCCTCCAGGAAGAGCCCCCGCACCCGCGCCCAGCGCCCCGCTGACACCGCCACCAGCCAGGCGTGCTCCCGCTGCCCCAGCGGCACCAGCAGCCCCCGGCCTGGGACGTGCCGAGGGGAGCTCTTGGAGGGCAAGGTGCGGGGCTGCCGCCCGCAGTCATCTGGCAGCGACGGAGGGCTGCCCTGCGCCTCCAACAAAGCAAGCTGGCACCTGATGCTCCGGAAGATAGGTAGTGGGGCTGGGGGGTTGCTCTCTGGGGCTTGGGGCCCTGCAGGGCCCTCTGCTTTCATTAAGGACTGGGACGGGGGTGGCCTGGCAGGGGGTGTTTGGGTGGAGCACTGTGGTGGGGACTGGGATGGGGGTGGCCTAGTGGGGGGCAGCACCCCAGGGCATGATGGCAGTATCAGGGTTTGATGTGGGTGCAGCAGCAGGGTTTGAGGTTGGGTTGGTCCACTGGGGGCCAGCACCCTGGATGACCTCAGTGGGGCTGGACTGGTGAAGAGATGCTGCATGGACCGGGACTGTGCCGGGGGCAGCCTGGTGGAGGGTAGCACGTTTGGGCCTGATGGATGCTGTGGGGTTGAGGAGGTGCTGGCAGGGAGCGCCTGCAGGGACCGGGACAGGGGCAGCACCCCTGGAGCGGACAGCAGCGGCAGGGACCGGGATGGGAGTGCCTCGGGGAGGGGAGGCTGTGGGGAGCTGGGAAGGGCCAGCTCGGTGGCAGAGAGCGCCCTAGGGCCCGATGGCAGCAGGGGGGACTGGGACGGTCTGCTGCAGGGCTGCCGCCCCGGGCTTGATGAGGGTGGCGGAGCCTTCAGTAGGGGCATTTCGGTGGGGAGCTGCGGGGGAGGCGGGGGCTGAGACGGCCTGTCAGGGGGCAGTGGCCTGTCAGGGGGCAGTGGCCTGTCAGGGGGCAGTGGCCTGTCAGGGGGCAGTGGTCTGTCAGGGGGCAGTGGTTTGTCAGGGGGCAGTGGTCTGTCAGGGGGCAGTGGTCTGTCAGGGGGCAGTGGCCTGTCAGGGGGCAGTGGCCTGTCAGGGGGCAGTGGTCTGTCAGGGGGCAGTGGTTTGTCAGGGGGCAGTGGTCTGTCAGGGGGCAGTGGCCTGTCAGGGGGCAGTGGTCTGTCAGGGGGCAGCACGCCGTGACCCGGCGGCAGTGGCAGGGCTCGGCTTGGGAGAGACCCTCCAGGGCGTTGTGGTGGCAGGGACCCGGATGGGGCTGACCCAGAGGGAGGCAGGCCCCGGGACAACGGTGGGGACTGGCACCGGGACGGTCTGGCAGAGGGCCGCTGTGGGGTCTGGTATGGGGGCAGCCCGGCGGGGGTCAGCGCCCCAGAACCCGTCGGCAGCGCCGGGGGCCGGCAGCGCGGGGGCCCGTCGGGGTGAAGCGCCCAGGGGCCCGAGGACAGCGGCCGGGTCCGATAGGGGGGCGGCTGTGCTGGGGGAGGAGGGGAACGGGAGCGGGACGGCCCGGGGCGCGTCGGGGCAGCGGCGGCGGCAGCGCGGCGCGCTCGGCGACACTCGCAGCAGAGTCCTCCGCGGCCCCGGGCGGAACAGCCCCCCGCGACGGCGGCTCTCTGGGGCTGCTCCCCGCCCAGGTGCCTGTTCTCCACCGCCTCCCCCGGGGGGCAGCGCCTCCCGTCGGGGTCGCGTCGGGGCGGTGGCGGCTCCTTCTTCTCCTCCTGCTGTTCCTCTGGCGGCGGCAGCTCCTCATCGAGGAGGTCTCGGTACCTGCGGCGGAGGACGATGTCCTTGGAGGCGCCGGGCGCGGCGGCGGGGTGGACGGTGGCCAGGGAATTGACGAGGCTCTTGAAGTATTCGCGGCGCTCCCGCTGCTGCGGCTCTGTCAGGGCTGGATCGCGGAGGAAATGCTGGAAGTGGCGAAGCAGCGCCGTGTTGGGGGCTCGGCCCCCGGCCTCCCAGAGGAAGTCCAGAACGGCCTCCTGGCTCAGCTCCCGCGCCATGCTTCGGGCCTTCCACCTCTCGGTACTCCTCCTCGGTGCTGCACGTCGGTGCCCGGCGCTGCGTCCAGGTGCGCAGCGCTGCCGCGGCGGGGAACCCGCCTCCTGCCGCGCCGGGGCTCTGCGCCTCCTCCTCCTCCGCCTTCGCAGCCGGGCCGCCACCCCCGGGTGCCTTTGCCCGGGGTGGCGGCCCGTGGGGCAGCGCGGCTGAGGTGACAGCGGTGCGAAGCAGCAGCGGGAAGGGAGGGAAGTGGGGCTGGAGGAGCCCTGCTCATGCTCTGAGAAGTGCGAGGCTAACTGCTGGCGTGCGGTGATGAGAATGAGCACTCCATCAGTCATTGTGCCAGTGAACAGACAAGAGGTGATGGGCACAAATTGAAATGCATAAAATGCCGTTTGTGCGTGAGGAAAAACTCATTTACAGTGAGTGTTGTCAGGTACTGGAGCAGGTTGCCTGGAGAGGTTGTGGTCCCCATCCTCAGGGACACTCAGAGCTTCACTGCATGCAAACCTCTATGTGTGACCTTCTCTGAGCAACGGCTGGACCAGAGCATTTCCAGAGGTGCCTTCCACCCTGACCCACCTTGAGAGTCCCCAACTTACCACAGCTGGTAATAAAGATATGTGAATGTGATGTGATTCAGGGTACCTGTTATTGCAAGTGTGGGGGATTGTACCTGTTTATGACAACCACACACAAATACCAAGAGTGCCTGAAGTCAAATTATGTCTCATATCATCTGTTTTCACTGTGTGGCTGGGACAGGTTGGACACATATTGTACTGGAGTGAGTATCTAATGTTGTTCTGTATTCTTAATGCTATTACCATTGAGTGTGTGTGTTACAGCTAAGGATGGAAAGATCAATGTCCCAAAGTGTCTGCAACGTTCACAAACGCCAGACAGATAGGTGGTGGGTATAGGCTTGTGATTTCTGTCTTGGTGACACAAAGCCCTAGGATAAGTTTAGAGGTTCAGACTCTGCAAACACATGCAGGCTGGATGTGTACAACAATGTTGCTCTCAAGTAAGCCAGCTACATGGGCCTGTGCTTTCAGGTTGCTGACTCTGAACCCTCAGTTCAAAGGAAGATGAACTGCACTGTGGTGCTGCAGGACCACTAAACTGTAACCTCTGGAAGCAGTCCTGAAAGAAACTTTAAAGTTTCTATGTTAGAAGTTACAGTTTAGGCGATATATCAGAGAAGTCTTCCCATGTGCCATGTGGGTTGCTTGGGTGGCACAGCAGGAGAAACTGTACTGCATGCCCTGCCGCCTATCCCTCTTGGTTTTCCTTGGGGTGTATATTGTAGGAGAGTATGGCTGCTTCCCATCAGGGGTGTTCATCTGAGGAAAGTGCTGGGAAGAGGGTAAGGGTCATGTTAATATTTCGTCACTTCACACATGCTTTTGGTACAGTTTGTCAAGGTATAAATACCTTTCTCCTTTGTCTGATGATGAGCCCCGAACTACAGTCACTACTGTGTTTGGCAGCAGCACTCTCTCAGCAGAAGTAGTTGAGATGAGATTAATGGAGCATAATGATATAATTGTAATCACAAATAAGGGAGGAGGGTAGATTGTGAAGATAAAAACCCAAGTAACAGTGGCAAATGACAACACTACTATCAAAGTGGTGTTTGGCTAAGGTGTCAGCAGGAGGCTTTCCATGGTATTGTATTTTCATTTAAACATCCTTGGAGGTATTATCATGTTTACTCTAAGCTTAGCTTTGACTAAAAAAAATAGAGGTTTTTCTACTGAGGAATGTCAGCTCTCACCCTGCAAACTTTTTCTTGCAGTTAAACATGCTCAGGTAACATTAAGTGACTATTGAAGTACCTGCAGGACTCAAACTGATGCCTTTGCCTTGCTGAGGTTGGAAAGGCCTCGTTGAGCTTGTTGAGGTGAAATGGGTTCACCTAACATGTCTCACTTGAGATACTACTGGTTGGATAGCTCAGATGCTGGGCAGTAGTACAGCAGTCGGTTGTAACCTGTTTGGTTAGGACTGCCATAGAATCATTGAATGGTTTGGGCTGGAAAGGACCTTAAAATCATCTAGTTCCAACCCCTCTGCCATCCTTTGCCCTCTGAGGGCAGGGATGCCTCACACTAGACCATGTAGCCCAAGGCTCTGTCCAGCCTGGCCTTGAACACTGCCAGGGATGGAGCATTCACCACTTCTCTGGGCAACCCATTCCAGTGCCTCACCACCCTCACAGTAAGGAACTTCTTCCTTGTATGTAACCTAAAATCTCTCCTGTTTAAGCTTGAATCCATTGCCCCTTGTCCTATCACTACTGTCCCTAATGAAGAGTCCCTCCCCAGCATCCCTATATGCCCCCTTCAGATACTGGAAGGCTGCTATGAGGTCTCCACGCAGCCTTCTCTTCTCCAGGCTGAACAGCCCCAACTTTCTCAGCCGATCTTCATATGGGTGGTGCTCCAGTCCCCTGATCATCGTAGTGGCCTCCTCTGGACTTACTCCAACAGCTCCATGTCTCTTTACCGTTTTGTAGGCAAGTTGTGAGCAGTGCTGACCACAAAATGGAGGCAGGATCAGCATTACTGCAACATTAAACACAAAAAAATCAGTCCACCACTTAGTCCTATTGTTATACAGGAAGATGTTGCCTTTAGGGAGCTACATAGCTGTGTTTCTGAATAGTTAACAGTTACTTGGAGGTTCTCTCAGTTTTTAGCCTTTTGGCTTTTTTGTTCTGTAAGTTAACCAAAGTTCCGTGTTTACCTGTGGATTTTCACAGCCTGTGTAAGGTTACAAATGGTCCTGCAGCTGACACAGAAGGTTATTGAAGCATCAATGTACCCTACCTGCAAAGTGAGGCAAAACAGCTTTGGAAAAATGGAGACAGCTCCCACAGGGGCTCTAGAACAAGATACTGGGAATTCCCTTTGCTCAGGTACCAATTTCTTGGCAGCAGCTATTAAACTTTCAGGAGCAAGGGGTCTGCTTCATCCTGCTGAACATGAGGAATGCAAGGAACCACGCTAGCTGTGATCTGGAAGGGCAGCAGAACATTTCTTTGTTTTGATATTTGTTTTTTCCCTCTCTTTCAGCATGAATGGCCATACCCAGGAAGGTCTGTATGCATGAATATCATGGAGAAAACTCAGCCACAGCTCTCCCAGCTTCAGGCTAAGGAAGGGTGAGTCACATTAGGATTTTGCGTATGCAGATCTTTGTGTTAGTTAAGTTACACTGATGCAGGAGTATCCTGCATGTCTCTAATTCACCAAGGGGAAGCTGTCTGCCTCACCCAGGAGATGCCACAAGGGCAACTTTTTAAATAGGATCATTAGGTTTCCACTAGAGGCTGCACTGGTCTGAGCACACTTCCCAGTACAGGCACACTCAGCACCTCCTCACCTGGAGCCATGCATGTGGGAGGAATTTGCTACAAGAGCAATAACATGAGTTTAATATAGCAGCCTCCCTGGGGTATGAGCAGTAGTGCCTAACACATTCGTGTCATAAAAGCACCGCATCAACCACCCTTGCAAAATCTTACTGGCAGAAACCCCACTGGTGTTTTTTTGGTGAAGCAGCTTTGGTGATGATGGCTGCAACTACACCCAGCTATGGGCTGCTGCCTGAGGTGCAGACCCTGAGCCCCAGGTGAGGAGCAGTGCCAGGGAGTGCTTGTGGGCTTCCTTAGGTTTCTGTTCAGAAGGGGGCTGCAGGAGCAGGCATGGGTCACCACGCTCAAATGCCAGTTCCTGAGTCCTTCAAAGCATGGTGAGAAGAGCTGCAAGAAGGAAATGCCTGGACTTTGTAGTTCTCCACCAACCATGTGTTTATTCATACTGCTACAAAAATGGCTTTTGGAGGGAAAAGGTAAGAGCTTCAGGTTGAATGGTGTACAAATAGTTAAGTGTTTTGCTGAGGTCTACTTATTTATTATCCTGGGTTATTTCCTTATAGGAGGTGCTCTCAGCTTTTAGCCTTTTGGCTTTCCCATTTTGGTTCTGTGGATGTTCACATGTGGGGGTAGCTCTGATACATCTGTAATTCAGCATGTCTTTCATGAGTGTGGCAAATTGGGTCTCTGTCTTTTGTAGCCTTTTGGGGCTTTATGCCTTGCAGGACCGTTTACCCCTGCCTTGGTTGATGACTTGAGCAGATGTGTTGAATTTAGCCCTAAGACTTCCACCTTTGCAGGTAAAGAGGTATGTTACCATGCCTAACATCAAGATATTAAGCATTTATATATATTTATGAAGAATGCCAGTTGGAGCAGCATGGAGCTGGCTATGCTTCACCCCTGGAAAGGAGCTTCACCCCTGGAAATCGCTTACTGGAGGGGGAGAGCACCTGGCTGCTGTGACTATAGTTCGATGTACCCAGTTTGTTTAAAAACAAAGCATGGGTGTGTTTGGCAGCAGGAGAGAGCTCAGAGAAATGAGAGGAATGAGGTGCCTGGTTGTCCCTTCTGGGTTGTTATCAAGAGGGCTTTAGGGGTTAATGTTTGCAAACAGCCCCAGCTGGGGTATCTCCTGTCTGAGCCCCTGTTATAAATACCTCTTCACTGAATCTCCATTCTCTTTAACTAACCTGGTAGGAGCAGGATCTCCTAGCCATCCCTTTGGTAGGGTTCTTGGTGCAGATGCTCTCTTATTTTCAGCTGTACCCCCACTGCTGTAGGGCTGAGGGTGCTGGACAGTGTGACACTTCCTGGTGAAGGGCACGGTACAAGCGGTCGGGCTGGGGCGCCGCGGTCTGAGCGGGGCCGAGTTTCCCCCCGCAGGCCAGCCGGGTTGGGGGCGAGCAGCGCGGCCAAGAGAGGGATTCACTGCCATTGCTGCCGCGCGTCGAGTACACCCTTAGCGCTGCCCTCTGGGGCTCCAGACGGCTTTCGGGGCTCGCCGGGCGGCCGGGGCGGTGCCGGCGTCCCCCAGGGGAGGGCCGGGGGGATCCAGCCTCGCCGCCCGGCCCCTTTGCATTGCGCATGGGCCCTCCCCGCCGGGTGGCCATGTTGCAGTTCTAA